GTAGCTTTAGGATGTTCCCTTAGCACCACATTGAACTTTGACGTTAGGTGGCATGATCCACGTGTATCTGTTTATATTAATTTGCAAAATCGTTAAAACTTTAGGTTATATGCATGTGCATTATCCTACGGAGTAACTTGTTTACTCACCCTAGTTTATTGTGGTTTTTTAGGTAAAGAAGTCATCTTCTTGGATGGACATCACTCTTAGTCCTGTTATTGTTTTAGTGTCATTAACACACTTCCTTTGAATACATGGAAAGTGTTTTAGCATGCCTTTTTGTATATTTTTGCAACCATGGGTGTATGGTTACGTTTTGAACCCTTCTCATGTAATGAGGCCTTAGAGCCATTTGCATTCTAACTTGATATGTATTTATCATTTATGTATGTATTCACATACTTTAATGCATTTATTTTACATGTTAGACCTATGTATGATGGGGGATTTGAGGCCAAGGGGGCCCTTTTCAATTTCTGGTGTATAACAGGTTCATCAGCACTTTCTCGAGGCATTTCAGTTGGTCGAAATTCCATTTCAGACAACCGGCTACCTTTTCTAATTTTAATTGAACAGTTCTTTTCCATTTCCAGTGGGCTGGAGTCATTTTGGGTCACAATAGGACCAGTTCTCTTTTTCGGTCGACTGGTTCTCTTGGGGTCCATTTCGGCCGACCGAAATGCTGTCTCCATTCTTAACCTTGTAGGTTAGTTGTCTTAACATGTTTGTACCATCTGTTGGCTTCCATTTTACATTTTTGACCTTATCCAAGCCATCTTATGGCGCACATGATCTAGTTTGACCTAATTCAAATTTCTTTGTGTGTCGTAGGTGCCCGAAAGCACCGTTTGACCTTTTTGATTTAGCTTCCATGTTTTGGGCCTGTTGTCAGGTCTGTTTTCAGGTCACTCACTGGCACACCGGGTTCTTTAGAATTCAGGGCTGTCACAGGTGGTATCAGAGCCTGACATTCAAAAACCTTAGAACGACGGGTCTTTCTTGGATTTATTTCATGTTTCATGCTGACATGCTTGATATATTCACATGATTACGTGCTTAAGTGCTTAAGTGTTTAAAGGCTTTCCTTAACTATCTTAGCATAACTGTATATTGCATACATCTTCGTGTTTCTTGTTTCCTGCATTCACTAAGTGAGTTGCATCCGATTATAATAACTTGTGTTGTTATTAACCTTATCCTTCATGCATATAGCATCATGGTTAGGACGCGGGGAGATTCTTAACGTCAGGTTGGAGGGGATGAGTAGGTGGATGACACCAAGCTTATCAGGAACCTTCCTAGGATGGCTAGAGCTCATGTTCGCGATGTGGGTGCTAATCCACCACGGGTTCCTACGAATGAGGAACATATTGCACAGGGAGTGGCTCTTCAGGTTGCTGAGTCCATTCAGGAGTTGTTTCGCACACAGTTTGTGGGGATAAAAATTCCTGCACCTATAGCGGTACCGGCACTGGCACCAGTAGTCAATGAGACGTTGGACTACTTCATAAAGCTACCGAGGGTTAAGATCGATCAGTTTGCAAGGAGTTCAGATCCATTAGTTTTAGAGGCGTAGCTTGACCTCATGGTTTGTAAGTTAGATAGTATGGCAGAGCCTACAGACAGGTTGAGGATCTCTTTAACCTCTTCTATGTTCATGGGCGATGTAGAGATTTGGTGGAGGTCTATCACTAATGTTCATAATGTGGAGATGATGACTTTGGTTGCATTCAGAGAGCTTTTCTTCAAGCGCTTCTTTCTAAGGGCTATGAGACGGGAGATAAGGATTCAGTTTATAGTTTTCTATCAGGGTGCTATGAGTGTCATTGAGTAGAGACACGGTTTACTACTCTTTCCCGCTATGCCGAGGAGATGGTAACGACAGACGAGACCATGGCTATGAAGTTTCAGGATGGTCTTCATCTTGACATCAGGCCACGGGTTTCACTTCTTAATTTGAGGACCTATAGGGAAGTGGTCCAAAGGGCTATGTTAGTTGAGGCAGAGGATAGAGGTACACGCAAGTAGTTTCACATAGAGGCTTCTTCTTCTTAGAGTCAGTCGAAGAAGGCTAAAGGCGGAGACAGTACTAACTTATAGGGAGCACCATAGGAAACTCATTCTGCACCTACAGTTACTGTATCTTCGGGATCTGGCTGAGGAGTGGTTTGTCAACCTTGCCAGCAGCCAGGCCACATCAGGCCTCGCTGCCTACAACTTCGTCTACAGGCTAGTCAGCCTTCAGCATCATTGATAGAGTTCACGGAGCTTGTAACTATTGCAAGCAGCTAGGTCATTTCAAGAGAGAGTGTCCACGGTTGTAGGGCAAGGCACCAAGTGGCACAGGTTCTCATATAGTGCCAGTAAAGTCCACAGTGGTGCAATCAGGATTCAGGGTTCCTTAGACACCACAGCCAATTGTTTTAGCTTCCTTATATCTAGCTAGAGGCTCTACGCCTAGCACTTCCACACGCCAATTAGGTTATCAGGGTAGTTCACAACAGAGTTTAGGGGCTCAGGGATGAGTCTATGCTCTTCCTTAGGTAGATGCTTCTGTAGGACCTTCAGTTGTTTGAGGTATCTTTCTAGTGTTCAGTTCTTCAGCTCGAGTCTTGATTGACACAAGTGCATCGCATTCTTTCATTTCATCATCATTTGCTCATTAATTGGGTTTGGAGGTTTCCCTTTAGAACAGCTTTTTTTATGTTGACACGCCAGTTGGGGGTCCAGTGTCTTTGGACATAGTTTGTCAAGGTTGTGCTATTGAGATAGCTGAGCGGACCTTGGAGTTTGATTTCATCCTTCTCAACATGACGGGCTTTGACGTCATTCTCGAGATAGACTAGTTGTCTTTCTTTCATTCTATGATTGATTGCTTCCATGGGAGGGTTTCTGTTTGCACTCCCAATGGAGATTGTTTTCATTTTGTGAGGGATCGGAGTGATCCTCACCCAGCAGTTGTTTTCAGCATCGGTGATTGGAGTCTCCACAGGTCTTACATGGCTAGTTTGCTAGTCAACGAAGATAGGAGTTCGGGCCATATTTTTTCAGCAGTTGTTGAAGAGTTTCTTGATGTTTTTCCAGAGGAGCTGACAGAGCTACCTCCTTTACGGGAAGTTGTATTTATCATTGATGTCATTCCCGGTACAACGCCCATCTCTATGGCACCGTATCGTATGACAACGGCAAAGTTGAAGGAGTTGAAGGAACAGTTGAATGATTTGAAAGCTAAAGGCTTTATTCATCCCAGTACTTCACCATATGGAACACTAGTTCTATTTGTGATGAACAAGGATGGGTCTTTGAGACTTTGCATTGATTATCGCAAATTGAATCACGTTACGATCAAGGACATGTTTCCTTTGCCTAGGATTGATGACTTGTTTGATCAGTTAAAGGGAATGACATGTTTTTTGAAGATTGACTTGAGGTCAAGGTACTATCAGTTAAGGGTTAAAGATGAGGACATATCCAAGACTGATTTTCATATACGGTATAGCCATTACAAGTTTTTGGTGATGCCATTTGGGTTGACCAATGCTCCAATAGCTTTTATAGACTTAATGAACCATGTATTCAGTGACTATCTTGATAGATTCGTGGTGGTGTTTGTTAATGACATTCTCATGTAGTCATCTTCAAGAAAAGAGCATGAGCATCACTTGAGAGCAGTTTTACTGATCTTTAGGGTTAACCGGTTGTATGCCAAATACGAGAAGTGCGAGTTTTGGCTACCTCAAGTGAAGTTCCTTGGACATGTTGTATCAAGGGGCGATGTTTCAGTTAATCCGTCAAAGATTGAGTAATAATGGATTGGGGATATCCGAAGAGTGTGTTCGAGATTCGGAGTTTTCTTGGCCTAGCTAGCTATTATTAGAGATTTGTTAAGTATTTTTCTCGTTTAGCAGCACCTATGACTAGACTTACTCATAAAGGAGTCAAATTCATATGGAATGAGGCTTATGACTTTACTTTTCAGGAGTTGAAGGTCAGATTGACATTGGCTCCAGTTTTGATCATACCTAAACATGGTTTGGGATACATGGTCTATTGTGTTGCTTCACGAGAAGGTTTGGGATACTTCTTGATGCAGACAGATTGGGTAGTTGCTTATCGGTCCAGACAATTAAAGACCGCAAGTTAAATTATTCGACACGTGATTTGGAATTAGCAGCAGTAATCTTTACCTTGAAAGGGTGGAGACATTACTTATATGGGGAAAAGTTTGAGGTCTTCTTCGACTACAAGAGTCTTAAGTACCTTTTCTCACATTATGACTTGAACTTGAGACAGCGCAGATGGGTGAAGTTCATGAAGGACTATGTCTTTGAGTTACACTATTATCTAGGGAAGGGCAACATTGTGGCCGATGCATTGAGTATGAAGTCATGGGGTACTCTTGCTACCATTTTCATTTATAGATGGAAGATGTTAGAAGAGTTTGCAAATCTTGGTTTACGGTTATGTGAAGATGTTTCACCAGCTATTTTGTTTAGCCTTATGGCTTAACCAGCTCTTGTCAGCAGGGTTAGCACAATAGAAGGATGGGGAGATGAAGTCCATCCGCATACGGATTTTAAAGCGAGAATGTAGAGGGTTGGACCTTGCATTCAGACAGTGGTCTCAGGTACAGGGGAATGATGTTCATTCCTTTGCCTTGTCGTGACGTTGTTCTTTAGGATTTTCACTATTCCCAGCTTGCCGTTCATCCTGGTGGTACAAAAATGTATCACAATTTAAGACGACAATTTTAGTGGAAAAATATGAAGCGGGATGTTTCTCAGTTTGTTCTTACTCATCAGCAAGTGAATTCAAAGCATCAGTGACCGGCGGGTTTGTTGTAACCATTACCAGTGGCAGAATGGAAGTAGGAGCACATTACAATGGATTTTGTGATGGGACTTTTGAGATCCCAAGTAGGGAATGACGCTGTTTGGGTCATAGTTGACAGGTTGACTAAGACGGCTCACTTTTTGCTTATGGCAGTGGCAAATGACGCAATGAGACTTAGTGGACTGTATGTGAGGCAAATTGTCAAGCTTCATGGTGTTCCTGTATCCATTGTTTTGGATAGCGATCCTCGGTTCATGTCTCACTTTTGGCAGGATTTTTAGGAGGCTCTTGACACAGGGCTTCATTTCAGCACGGCATTCATTCCTCAGACTGATGGTTAGTCGGAGCATACCATTCAGATATTGGAGGATATGCTACGGGCTTGTATTTTAGATTTTGGGGGTAGTTGGGAGGACTACCTGCATTTATTTAAGTTTTCTTACAATGACAGTTACCAGGCCAGTATTGGCATAACACCTTTCGAGGCGTTATATGGTAAACCTTGTAGATCTCCAGTTTGTTGGACCGAGGTAGGTGATATAGTCACCTTAGGTCCCGACATTGTCATTGAGACTACATAGAAGATTAACTTGATTCAACAGTGGTTGGTTACAACTCAGAGTAAATAGAAGAGTTACGACGGTAAGAGGAAGAGATCCTTGTCTTTTAAGGTAGGAGACCATATCTTTCTCAAGATTTCTCTATACAAGGGGCTTGTGAGATTTTGATAAACTGGTAAATTGTCTCCTAGGCTCATTGGACCGTTCTATATTTTGGACTGCATTGGTGAGGTTGCTTATAAGTTGGCATTGCCGCCACATTTGGATAGATTTCACGATGTTTTTCACGTTTCCATATTGAGGAAGTACGAGCTAGATCCATCACACATTTTGCTGTGGACATATGTTATTATTGATGAGGATGTGACCTACGAGGAGGGTCCAGTCCAGATTCTCGACACCAAGGAGCAGGTCTTACGAACCAAGACCATTCCATTGATCAAGGTTTTGTGGAGATATCACAGAGTTGGGGAGGGCACTTGGGAGCTCGATCAAGAGGTTCACTCTTAGTATTCCGAATTGTTCGTGATCTCATGTATGACTTGATTTCGGGGATGAATTCCTTTTAAGGAGGGGAGGTTGTGAAGACCGAGTCTTCTTTTTCCTTTTTCAGTTTTACAACTTTTATTTTTTATTATTATAATTATTATTTATTTAATTGATTTATTCTTTTTCCATGTTACCTTAGGGATTTGTTGCGCCCGAGGTAGGCTTCGGTGTTCGGAACTAATTTTTGGCACCATCTGCATTACATTATATTATCTTTTACTGCCTGCGTAAGTTTTAATTTCATTGTAAAACATGCTAGTTTATTTTTAATTTCTAGGTGTATGGATGCATGGTTTCTTTGGAAATATTTTTGTTTTACGGGGGGTTTTACGTACTTATGTTTTTGAGATATTTTGCTTAAGGACAATTTTACAAATATTTTTTTCAGATATTTAGAGGAAGGACCTCTTTGCAAATTGTTGAAAGGTGTGACAAGTGTCTTTTCGATGACCACATGTTAACTTTTAGGTGGAACACTTGGAAGCCTAGGATGGTGACAAGTGTAAGGCCTAGATCAAACCTTATGAGGAGGCCTAGATTTATGACAAGTGAAGGGTGGATGTATGTGTGTGTGTGAGAGAGAGAGGTAGTGTTGGTATGGTGTGTTTGGCCAACAAAAGTGTTTTAAGTTAATGGAAAAGGGTGTGAAAGTTGTCTTGCTCACTTAGCCACCATTGTTGAACCTTGAAACCATAGCCTCCATTCCTTCTTTTCAAACCCTGTCCTTTGGGATTTTGGTCTTCCACCTTGAAGACAAAAGCTCCCCCTCTTCCATCTCTATAACACCTTCATTTATTTTTCCCATTTGATTTTGTTGCCTTGGATTCTAGAGGAACAATCCTCTAATAAGGTAGGGAATGTCTTATATTTATACCCTTTGTGTTTTATGCGTTCCTGGAGTTGATATGCATTGTATACATGTCTTTTTAAATTTCTAGGGTTGTATATGGTTGTATCTTTCATGAAATTAACTTAGGAGTAGGTATTATTTAAGGCTTATACATGATCTTTATTTGGTATTAAACTTACTTCATTTAGTGATGTTTTGAAATCTTGTGATTTTTAATTGTATAATTATTGAGTTTCTATATTGTTGTTGTTGATGATTAAATTGTATATTTAGTATTATGTTGATGTTTAAATCATGGAATTGAAACTCAAATTGTTATAGCATGAATGAAATTCTTGTGTTAACAATATTGTTGTAGCCTAGTAGAATTCACATTGTATTCCTGTTATAGAAATTGTCATAGTATGTAATACCCCTAGTTTTTAAAAGGGATATAATTGGAATTTCACTATTCATTTTGGAATTTCACTATTTATTTTTTTGTTTTCATTATTTCTCTTATGATTTCTAGGTGCTTACGTGGCTATGGGTAGTGATGGTTGCCTATTTATGTGCAATTAAGTTACGTGTTGTGTGAATTTAAATGTGTATTAATTAAATTTAGTTGTTGATTCTTTTTGAAAGATTTATGTGTTTAATTGAAAATATTGTTATTAATGTATTCAAGGTTGGGATTTAATTTAATGGGATATTTAATTAAATTATTTGGGATTTAATTTAATGGCTTATTGAATTAAATTACTTAAGTAATAACTGCATTACTTAGACCATGTTAAGGGTTTTGGCCGACTGGGATTAACTTAGGGTTTTCTGTCTCCAATTATAAGTGGGCCTCAATTAGGTTTTCCATGGTGGATTAGAAGTAGGCTTAGTGTTTTGATTAGTGCTTATATATATACTATTGTATGCCTTCAAAAGGGTGGAGAACCCCATACACGTATAGTATTCTAAAGAGAAAACAAAAGAGAAACAAAGAGAGGCTGTAAGGGAAACAGAGCAATCTGGGTAAAGGTCTCGGCTGTGGTTTAAGGGTTGGACTTGGAGAAGGGAAGGCTGAGCAATAGGAGGTGGAATAGTCATTCGAGATTTCATCAGAAAATTCAGAGACGGTTAAGGCAAGTTCTTTTCTTCCTCCTTCCCTTTGGCTTGTATTTTGTGCACATAGGTATGCTCTAGGGTTTTAATGGACCAATAACTGAATCGTGCATGTTTTTATATGTCAAATTAATCAAATATTTTCCTTGAATTAGTTCTGTGATGATTTCTGAAAGTTTGGTTACAGTACTTATTTTGATAAGCATGCTATAATCGGTAAGTATTAAAGGATTTTAGTAATGCAATTTGGTATGAATAATGACTCTGGATGATACTGGACATACTTGGGACATCTAGGTTCAGTTTAAAATAAATAGAGACGGTTGGAAGTAGCCGGAGTCGGGGAAGAGGGTCGTGGAATTCGCAGAACAGCGGACGGCTCTCAGAGAGGGAGAGAGCCGGCTCCAGGAGGAGGGAGCCGGCTCCCCCCCATTGTAGAGCCAGCTCTACCCTCTTGGAGACGGCTCCAGGAATTCTTGGAGCCTTCTCTTTTGTTTTTGGAGCCTTCTCTTTTGTTTAGAGCCTTCTTTTTTGTTTTTGGAGTCTTCTCTTTTGTTTAGAGCCTTCTCTTTTGTTTTTGGAGCCTTCTCGTTTGTTTTAAAGCCTTCTCCTTTGTTTTTGGGAGCCTTCTTCTTTTGGTTTTAGAGCAGTCTCTCACGGGGATTTGTTTCTGAAGTTTTTAAGCAACGTTTGGATGATTCTATTTTGGTCTAGACTGTGTGGTGAGTATACTGAGGGTTCTTATTACAAATTTCAAGTCTGGTTAAAGCCTCTTATTACATAATTTATATCTCTACACTAAAGGATGAAACAGAATAAAAATATACGATTTAACATACTATTAATGGATGGAAGGAATTGAATTATTCTAAAAAATTCTGGGACTTCACAGAATGATTTCAAAGGTTAATCTTGGGTATTAATAAGACCTTTTGTTGATTAAATTTTACTTCTAAGTCAATGGGACAAATGGTATAAAATTATTGAACTTTCTATACTGTTAACGGATGAATTACGGATTAGTTGCTTAACTAAATTTTAGCAATGTAATGGGATTTAGGATGTTTACAAAACTTATTTTAAATGCATGGTAGGGTCATCTATGTATTTATTTTGATCTAGACATGCTTTGGGACGCTAATTGTCGAAATAGTAAACCTTTTTCTGCAATTATTTGGATTACTGTTGGATTGCAATTGCTTGAATAATGAAACATTTTCTGCAACTATTTGGATAATGGTTTGGACTGTAAATTACAGAATTATGGTTTATATATAGTAATTTACATGGATATGGAGGATTATATGCACTGGTATGGGACGGTGGCATACTAGGGACGGTTTAGCTTCAAAACGCTAAGACCTTGCGACGGCCCAAGTTTTGTAAACCCGGTGCATCAGTGATGACTAAAAGATGACCCGATAACGAATCCGAAATGCGGAAGTGAAAGGTGAAACAGTGGTCTCTAGAGATACAATGCATCTCTAAGACTCTAATGTGACCCTCAATGAGGTCGTGGAACCTAAAGGAAAACAAATGCGGAAGTGTCGTTTAAAAAACGGACAAAAAGGAACCTAGGAGCAAAATGGTCATTTTGCAAAAAAGTGGATTCAAGTGCTATCGAGCACACCACTGGGAAAACAATGAAAAACTAATCATGATGGACTCAAGAATTTCATTATTCGAATTCCGGACGAAGGAGAAACGACAAAACAAAGAAAAACGGGAAATAAAACAAAAAGGGGTAAACTGGTAATTATCCAGAAATATCTGGGTGCAACCGAGCACACTGTTGGATAGACGATGAAAAATTAATCCATTTCAAAAAAAAATCACTTGATTTGGAGTCCGGATGAGAGAGAGAGGTCAAAAACAATATCGATGTCGTGGCGGCCCGACGAAGGCTGTGACAGCTACAGCGCCGTCAACCCACCACTACTGCAACAAGAGTAAAAACGGGCATCTAAACGAACTTTTCTGGAAAAACTCAAAGTAGAAACCCCCCCTAAAATCAAGTTTCTTACCCTAAACACGAACGGAAACAAAAAAAAAAATGCATTGTAAAATGCCCAGAATGCCCCCAAGAAAATCTAGTCAAGGGGGGTAAAAAGTTCTCCGAGTTGCTACCCAAACAAAGGAAATAGGGCTTCGGGAGGTTTTTAAATTGCCAAAATTGAAAATGCAATCTTAAAATACACCCACAAGACCCCCGGAAGCTTCAGATCTGTCGTCACACTTTTAAAAAAAAAGTCGATGAATAGTACCAAGTACATTTGCACTAAAAATCTGCAAAACCTGGCAGTAAGGATTTTTTAGAAAAATATGGATTTTGGAGGGCCAAGATGGAATTTTTTGGAAAAACACAAAGAAGAAACCCCCCTCAAAATTGAGTTTTCTCCGTGACATGAAAGGAAAAATGAAAAAATTGCATTGCAAAATATCCAAAATACCCCTGGAACAGAATAGGGTAAAACTCCCTAAAAATGCTACTTAGAGTTTTTGTTTCATCAAGGATGGTGTTGTTTGCCAAAGTGAGTATGCAAGTGCATGAAATATGATAAAATAGATGTACCAACATGGCCTAAAGCCTTTTTACATTCCATTAACAATTTTTAGCACACAAAGCCTCCACAGTTGAGAAAAAAATACATTTTTAAGCAAACTATGGCACCAATTGAATACAAGTGCAAATATAAACTTGCTTGGCCCATGGCCTCATGTCCTACATGTCAAATGCATTAAAAGGAGCATATTTATGTACACTTTACATACGTAGAATCAAATAATACAAGTTTGATACATAAAGCTACCAAACGATCCATGGCAATGAAATCTTCAAGTCTTGAGTCTTGTACCTGAAATATGCCCCAGTATCGTAGGGGTGAGTAACATAAAGCTACTCGTAGGAGATGAGCATGCATCGACCTAGCATTTTACTATTTTATCACCTTAAGGTGAAACATATCAAAGGGGTTCATGCCACCTAACGTTTATGTCAAAATGAGACTCAGGAAGC